AGATCTTAGTGTGGCTATTTAGGGCCCATGAGGTGCTCTAACGAGCCCCATGGGACCCTTCTGAGTAGAAATATGGCCATCGTTAACCCTCAGCGGTCAAATGGCGCCGCAGGGCGCCTCGGACCCGAGGGTCCCTTTTATCCCGATGGGGGGGGGGGGGTACGTGTCCCCTTAGAACCCTAGCTACGCCACTGTTTCATATGCATCATGTCAGGCATTTTAGGCTCGCCCCCCCAACTTGAAAATCGTTCCCGGGCCCCTGACATCTGCCCTGGGCAAGCTGCTTGAGCGAGTTGTAAACGCGCGTCTCGTCTGGTTTCTGGAGGAACAAGGTGTTTTATCTAACTCGCAGTGCGGTTTCAGAAAGTATCGGAGCACAGTAGATCACATTTTAGCCCTTGATACCGAGGTTCGTTGCGCATTTAGGCGGAAGCGACACATTGGTGCATTGTTTTTCGACATTGAGGCTGCGTATGATACCACTTGGCGTTTCGGTATTTTACAAAAGCTTTTCAAGTACGGTATACGCGGTACAATGGGCCATTTCCTCGCCAGCTTTTTATCTAACCGGTCTTTCAGAGTCCGTGTCGGTGGCAACCTCTCAGAGCAGTTCCCCCAGGTCAACGGTGTCCCCCAAGGAGGAGTCCTAAGTGTTGTGCTGTTCGGGGTAATGATTAACGATATTGCCGATCACCTGCCCCCTTCCATTGGCCGTGCCCTTTTTGTGGATGACTTCTCTATCTGGGCCAGTGGTGCAACCACACGTATAGTAGAGAGACAGCTCCAGTTGGCAATTAAAAGATTAGAAAACTGGAGTGCTGTTAACGGACTACGATTCTCGACAGCCAAAACTGTAGGTGTCCACTTTTGCCGTTTTCGCCGTAATTGCCCTGACTTCTCTGTCAGGCTAAGGGGTGCAGTGATCCCTGTGAAGTCGGAGGTGAAGTTTCTTGGGATGGTAATAGACAGCCGTCTTACCTACCGCACTCACCTGAAAGAGCTCCGCGACCGATGTTTTCGAGCTATGAATGTTTTGAAATGTGTTGCGCGTACCTGCTATGGGGCGGATCGTAAGACACTGCTCTTGCTTTATCGTGCTCTTGTCCGTTCTAGACTTGACTACGGCTGTTTTATATACGATAACGCCACGGAGACCTCGAAACGTATTCTGGACTCTGTGCACCATACTGCTCTTCGTATTGCCACTGGTGCGTTCCGGACCACCCCAGTAGCCAGCCTCCTTGTAGAGGCCCACGAGCCACCTCTTGCCTTGCGTCGCCAGCTACTGGGCATGAGATATACCATAAAACTCCGCCAGTTGCCTTCCCACCCTGCCTATGATGCAGTTTTCTCACGTGCCAACCTGGCGCTTTTCAGAACCGGAGAAGGTGCACGTACTGTCCGCTACCCCCCTTTCTGCTCTCGTATGCAATCGCTGCTCTCGGAAGCTCAAATTAAACTTCGGGGGGTCATGCGTAAGGAGTGGCCATCTGTCCCACCGTGGAGACAAGTCCCGCCAAAGGTGGACCTTTCCCTCACCGATGTGAGAAAAGGCGACATCCCTCCAGCTGTTTTAAAGGCTCGTGCGCTGGAACATATTTCAAGGTACTCTGACTACATAGCCTGTTATACTGACGGCTCAAAGACTGATGACGGTGCCGGGTGTGCTTTCGTCTGCGGCGACGCTGTGCGGTGTTTTACCTTACCTAAACATGCATCCGTTTTTTCCTGCGAATTGGTCGCTATCCTCAAACTCCTGTGTTTTATCGAGATTAATCCCGCTCGGTCATATGTTATTCTTTCTGACTCATTGAGTGGTCTCCAGTCCTTGTCACAATTCTACCCTTCTGACCCTCTCGCACAGGAGATTCTTCTTCGTGTGACAGCCCTCGACCGAGAGGGTACGTCGGTGTCTTTTTGCTGGATCCCTAGCCACGTCGGTATTCACGGCAACGAACGGGCGGACCGAGCTGCGAACCATGCTGCGCAGTATCTGTGCTCCCGCCGATTCCCTCTACCCGCCAGGGACTTTGTACCGGCGGTGGGCTCTTTCCTCCTCGGAAAGTGGCAGGAGGCCTGGAGCCAATCCCACGGTAACAAACTTTTACGTATCAAGCCAGGTTTAGCTACCTGGTTGTCGGCCTCACGCAGATCGCGACGCGAGGAGGTGGTCCTCTGCCGGCTTCGTACCGGGCACACTTATGGCACCCATGGGTTCCTTATCGGCGTTGGCTCCAGGCCTATTTGTACCAGATGTGGTGACCGACTTTCGGTCCGACACGTCTTGGTCGAGTGCCCGAGACTGGACGCTGAGCGATTGCGGTTTTTTGGATTGCGTGGCCCCCAGCTCTCTTTGAGAACACTTCTCCGCGACGACTCCCCTTTTCTCGATTCCGTTCGCCTCTTTTCGTTCATCACGGCCTCCGGGCTTCAGGTGATTTTTAACCCCCGACTTTGAGGAAGATTGGTTAGATATGGGCGCCATATAGCCTCGTTGCTGGTGCGCCCTAAAACACCAAATCATCATCATCAGACAATTAGGCTCCATTTGTTTGAACAGGAGCATAAATTTGCATCAGATATGAACATATGTTATGTAGAGAGGACTTGGTCTAGTTCGAAAAATAATCACCTCAGGCATGGGTGGAGAATTGTCTTCAAAGTTGGTATGACGCCAGCTGCTTCATACAATGCAGCAACGTTGACACATAAGGAAAATCTGGGCACATACTAAGCATAACAGTGCATTTTCTATACATCTACAATGTACTTGACTGTTTCATATACCTATGCATCAAAATTGATATGAAATATTGCGAATGATAAAGAACAAAATATCAAAACGCATTGAGGTCGTGCATCCTTAATTAAATCAAGTATGCAGTGAATTACTTGTCTCAGTCTTGTTCCCTGAAACTCCTTGTTAATGTCAAAGCTTTTTTACCTCATATTTTGAATTTTTACAAGCTGTAATTCTAAAAATTCATAGGTTTTACCCTGAAAAGTTGGTATGGCATTGTCATACCATTTTTTAAGTTGGTGTGGCACATGCCATACCTGCCATACCACATTCTCCACCCATGACCTCAGGAATCATTGGAGATCTCTCATGATAAAACCCAAACTTACTCGTTTAGCCCGCGCCCCGTAGGGGGGGGGGCCGAAACGGCCCCCCCCCCCCTGTCCTTTTCGGTCGATATCTCCTAAACGGCTGGAGATATCGCCACCAAACTTTCAGGACCCCTCCGGGCATCAATTTTACACATTGTGACCAAAATTTTTTCCAGAGGCTATGATAGGTTGGCCACAAATGACGTCAGAGTGACGTCATGTTCTGTCATTTTCGACCGAAAAAAGACCTTCGCGAGAAGACCTGTCAGGACTACAGCTTTGAAGATACAGAAAAATGATCAAAACATAAAAGGTGTAGAATTAACAGGGCTACAAAACTGCTATCTCGAATTTTTGAAATTTTTGAGTTTTGACCCCCAAAAATCAAAAAAGCATTTTTTTGGATATATTCGCCAAAAAATCCAAAAAGTTTTTTGAGTTTCGAAAAAACCGGAATATATGTGATAGTGCCTACCGTCGTCTATCTACATACCAAATTTCAGATCGATACCTCGTTTTTTGGCCAAGTTATAGCGAAAAAACTGTTCAAAAATGATGACGTCAAATTTTCAAACTCAATTTTTGGCAATTCTAGAACTCGTAGAGCAAAACGAAGACCACCATTAGACTCCCCGTGACGAGCTGCATCGAATCGATACCCATTTTATGCAAAAATATCAACTTTGAAATTTGACCTAATTTGACCTGAACTTGACCTGACCTTCACAAAAACGTGACCTAGGCTGGCCCCAAAGGCTGCCTTACCCACATAATCGCATTTGTCATGTAAAATGGACCATAAAACATGTATCACACGACGCATTCATATTGTGACCCCCGGTGACCTGACCTCGCTGTGACCTGACCTGGTATCAGTGACCTCAGATAGCAAAGTATGTGTTTGACGAACAATGTACCATCGATGGTTTTCAATAAATTACCAATTTACTCGCTTTCACAGCACATTTCTTGAATTGCCTGTGAACGGTGAAAATCTGACCTTTGACCTGACCTGTGACGTCATCGGTTTGACCTAGGTCAATGAAATTTGGTCACAAGGTAGTTCCCGGGTGGGGCTATCGAACGCCGTTTGAATTTTGAAAATCGGCCGGTAACTTTCCGAGATCTTAGGGGGGGCCGAAACGGCCCCCCCCCCCTACGGGTGGTAGGGTCCGCCGGTAGCCCTACGGGGCGCGGGTTAGTTTTCTTTCAGTCTGTTCTCGTTCACGGTTGCGTTTAATGCTGGACTGGGTGAAGACAATATTGTGTTTTAGCTCGTGCTTTAGCAGCCCCCGGACTGATCTGTGCTCGGCTGTGGCAGTGCTGTCATTATTTGTTCTGCATGCTCCGACCCCTAGGTCTTTACCCCGAAGTATTGGATGAACATGTCCATACATACATGGCATTGGCAATCGCCGTGCTACAGATCGGCATGGACGTCCCGAAAACTTTCTCAATCGCCCCTTCTATTCCTGAAGCAGTGTTCGGAACCGTTGATCTGATAGAAAGTAATGACAGGTTTCCAAACATATCAGGCAGCGGTGCATTGAGAGAGAATTGAACGCATGACTGATTGAGCAGAAGACTAGATACAGTCGACGTGGGTCTGGAGAGGGACTCCATTATATACTTACCGCGGAATAATGCAGATATGAAAGTAAAATAGCTCTGATGAATGTTGAAGTTGAAATAGCTCCGACTTGGTCTAGATATCGTTCTTACAGACACATTCCCCGGGCACGGTATAGTTCACAGCAGCCAAACCTCCCTATTATATGCCACACCCGTATGGTAAGTTTGACCCTGTATTCGGTGTAGATGTCGTGTGTTGCGTGTTAGCCGACTACCCCCGTCCCACTGTTACGCCCTTTGTTACCGTGTCTCTGCAGCCGGGCGAGTCGCCGTACCACACGGTCCACCCAACCGAGACCCGCCGCCACCCGACGCTCGAGGGGCTCGGCGTTAACGTGTCCCGACAGAACCGCAGCAACTCTTGGTCGGATGTGCTGGACGAGAGCCGACTGGCGGCGCCCGAGCCCGGCGCCATCGAACAGCGCTTCCAGCATGACAATAACCGGCGGTAGGTGTGCGGCAATAACCTAGAGTATGCGTACATACCTTATAACGTGGCCCTGAACGTGAACAATGGCTTAGCTGTGAGTGGTCATTTTTCGTCATAAAAGAGGTGCGATCACTTCGTGCGGTGTCTGATGATGATCGAACTGGATGTTTCTATTTGCAGGCTCCTGGACCCCGCTCGTCAGGCCGAGTTTGATCGATACAAACGGATTTACGCCGACATTCTGTACCGCTGGCAGCTGACCAACCATCGGGCACAGGTGAGTACGCAGCGATACCCTGCGGGATCCCCAGGCTGCGGTTCCAGGATCGTTACTCGAGAACCGGACAGGGATCGGTACTCGGATATTGGGAAGGGGTCGGTACCTACTGGAGTATCGGACAGGGGTCGGTACTCGGATACCTATTGGGAAAGAGTTCGGTACCTACTGGAGTATCGGACAGGGGTCGGTACAGTCGAGTGCCGGCAGGGAGGTTATCGAGAATCGGGGAGGAGTTGCTGCCCGGATACCTGCTAAAATCCCAATAAATAGATCAATGCGACACGAGGGGACCAGTCCCATCAGCCGGTGGGTTTGCGTCCGGCGCCCCTCCTTTGCTACATCGCCTTGTTGACCGCGCCGCCGTGCTCAGGTGCTCAAGTACGTGAGCACGGTGCCGGTGGCGCACTGCGGCCTGGAGGTACGCTCCGAGTGCAGCCGCTGCGGGCGCACGTTCGCCGGCTCCGAGTGTCCGCTGTGCCGCCGGTGCACCATCGTCTGCGTCATCTGTCACGTCTCCGTCAAAGGTGGGTGGCTGAACTGTCCGTCCCCTCCGTCAAAGGTGGGTGGTCGAACTGTCTGTCCTCTCCGTCAAAGGTGGGTGGCTGAACTGTCCGTCTTGAGTGGGTGCTGTCGCAACACTGTGTTCCTGGGCGCGAGGTGTGTGGTAGGTGCGTGGGGCGTGATGTGGATGGCTGAACTGTCCGTCCGTAGTGGGTACTGCCGCGTCTCTGACCCTATTTTCCTGGGCGTGTGGTGGGTGGCTGAACTGTCCGTCCGCAGTGGGTCCGGATTGTCACGTCTCTGACCCTGTGTTCCCGGGCGTGTCATTGTTACTATCACTGTGCAGTGTCACATTTTGGGTAGTCTTATCCTTTTTGACGTTCTGTTCAAAGCTAAAGTTTCAGCAACACTTTCCACATCAATAATTATGGCGTGGACGTAAAAACTACTTGAAGAAGTCTTAGCGGATTCCTCTATTATAATTTTGGTCCAAGATGACCGCTGTTTGTCTACCACAGGCTTCAATGTGTTACTCGTCTGGGCTGTCAGCGCACCGTTATTAACGCTGTGTGACCTATCTGACAGGTATGTCGTCCTTTTGTCTGGTGTGCGGCCACGGTGGTCACCTGCTACACATGCTGCAGTGGTTCCGCGACCAGCTGCTCTGTCCGACCGGCTGCGGCTGCCGCTGTGCAGAGAGCCTCCAGCAGTGATCTGTACAGCTGCTCGGAGAGCCTACAACAGTGACAGGTAAAGAGCAGCTGCTCCGAGAGCCCTCAGCAGTGGCTGGTTTAACTGCTAAGAGAGCATCGAGCAGTGACCAGTGGAAACTTCACCAACTGCTCTGTCCAACTAGCTGCGGCTGCCGGCTGTTCAGAGAGCCTCCAGCAGTGATACAGTGAGCAAAGAGCGTGAACAGTTACCCCGTTTGGATGCCACTCCAGCGTCCCACGAGCTTCAGGTGTATAATTTGTGAGTTTTGGCGTATTACTCTATATGTGTATTGTGTATATTGGCGGGCTGTTTATAGTCGGCCCTCCGTACAAGGCTGTGCTGTGCGAGATGACAAAAGGGAGACGTCGCAAAATGTTAAACGCAACGTATGCGTACTGAGCGTATATTTATGGGGCAGACATGTGTCTGTGACGTGATTTAGCGTGAAGGAAAGGAAAGCTGTCACGACTACAGGCAGTTATTGGGATGATGCAAGAAGTATTCTTTTGAGCGCTGTTTACCAGGGCAGTGATTATCCTCGATGGAAATATAAATATTGCGAAGTTTCCGATGTTTCAAGGAAGGTTGGACGTGCCGCCACGCCCAACGTTTCAGTCGTCCCGACGTTGCCGATTGCCTTACCGGCACAGTGCACTATGTATTTTGTCGCTGTGCCTAAAATGTCACCCACACCGCCTATATGATCTCTCTTCCCCATTCAAACCGCCAGCGCAAACAGCATTGGCGTGAAATTCATTATTGTATTGTTATCTTATTCGGCCTCGATGCCCTGTTGACCAAGCACAGCAGTTTGCAGTAAATGGAAAACCAACAGGAAAACGGAACACCCTTTATATATATATACCGGCATAAATGCCAGTAATTTGAAACCAAGCATATTCTAGTGATCACAAGCGAACCACTCCGGAAATACATGACCACAGAGCTCGTACTGGAAACAAACTACCGATATAAAATGTTATTAGCTATGAACATGTTTCACGCCGTCCGTCTTATAGCTAGAACTCCTCTCGATAGGCACATTCTATACAGGCACAAACATTATTGCCATCGCTTAGTAAAAATATACAACTCATCTAAATCAAGCCATATCGACCACGTAGCATTATCACGATAGATCTACAAATATATGTCACAAAACGAGACCGTCATGGGGTGACGGCAGAACGGGGGGCGGCGGCTCAGTGGATGGTACCGGTGCCGATATCCTCCGAGTCGTCGGTCACGCTGCCCAGCAGCGACAGCAGCTCGCTATCGAGCACCTCGTCGCTGCCTTCCGGGCCGAGCTGGCGCGCAAACTCGGCGTCCTTCCCGCCGCCGGTCGCCCACGGGTCGCCGCCGCCGCCTCCGGCCGCCCAAGGGTCGCCGCCGGTGGCCCACGGGTCCGCACCGCCACCGCCGCCGTCCGTAGCCCATGGATCCGCGCCGCCGCCACCGTCCGTAGCCCACGGGTCGGCGCCGCCGTCGCCGGCGCCCCACGGGTCGGGCAGGCCGGTCTGCTGCGCCCAGTCCTCGCCGGTGCTCTGCTGCCAGAAGGCGCCCGCCGAGCGCGAGTCGAGCTCCGAGGAGGAGCTGACGCACTTGCTGCAGGCGCAGCTGTCCGGCACGGTGAACGTGTGGTAGATGCTGTTGCCGGTCTCGCAGGTCAGCCGCACGTCCAGTTGGCGGGTGCCGGTGGCGCCGCAGCACTTGCAGCCCGACTGGATGGTGGACGTGTCTGAGGGAAAACGGAGTCGGTTTCAGAAACAATACGAGTGCGAGGAACAGGGCAAGCAGACCGCGCGACAGAAAACAGACGGTACTAACCCTGCGGGACAGAAAAGTCAGTGCATTAAAACATTTCCGCTTCAAAAGCTATGTATTGTAAGCGTATAGCGTGTCTAGTTCGAGTGTCGAATGGACGGCCCACTCTGCATTTGCTCCTCAATGGCATTTGTGATGAAAATTTAAAATGTTTGTGAGCTCGAATAGCGGATCATTTCACCAGTATCAAGTCCCAAACCCACGGCGTCTCACCGGTGTCGAAGAAGGCCATGGAGTCGCAGGCGCCCTTGCAGTTGATGATGCCGACCACCGGCTCTGTGTTGACGCACTCGCCCTGTTTGAACATGCCGACCGTTTCGGGCGGTGGCACCACCTTCACGTGGCAGTTATCTGTGGAAGCGGAACGACGCGGGTAACAACGCTTCAGCAGCCAGTCTAGGACACGGAGAACGCTTAGTACTCCCGACGAAAGAACGGATGCTTAAAAAAAAAATGATGGCGCACAAGAAACCTATCTGACGTTCGGGCAAGATGCACTGCTCGTAAACATGATTATTGCTAGCATGACGTTCATCCCATCCACCCTGCTCCAGTGACGGTGTCCCACGGTGCCACCTTGCCCTGGGTCCTGTGCGGTCGCCACCCTAGCCACCCTACCCCGGCGACGGCGCTCGCCACTGTCCCACCCCGCCCCGGAGACGGCGCTCGCCACTGTCCCACCCCACCCCGCCCCGGCGGCGGCGCTCGGCACGGCTCGCGGCACTGACCGGTGCGGTTGCAGCGCTGGCAGCATCCCGTCTCGTCCGTGTAGAGGTTCTCGGGCGGACAGTCGCTGACGTCGCGGCACAGCGCCGCCATACTCATCACCGTCAGCTGGCCGTCGAAAAAGTCGCGCTCGCACGTGAACTCGGTGCAGCCGTCCTCCGACTTCCAGATCTCGCCCTCGGCGTGCACCACGCCGCCGACCACGCAGGCAGTGCGCTCACACTCGCCGCAGCACTGGTCAGAGCCAGGCGCCGGCGCCACGTACGTGTGACCCTGCATGTGGAGGGGAAAGGGTCACTAGGAGCGCCGGGGAGGCGGAACTGACTTAGAAGATGGACTTCAAATAAGTTACAGTTTCATGATCATCAGCCAGGCAAGAATAACGTATTCCGATGGCCAATAGCAGTTATTGCCACCTTGATTCAATCTCGCAAGTCGCAACAATCAGTATCAATTCGGGGTGTCAAACCTGGTGTCAGCTCCATCTCCGTGAGACCTAACCAAAATATGTCGCATTTAAGTCTTCTCCGTTCCATCCTTTATCAACCATCAACTCGACAGCCACTCACCAGTCGGCACTCCTTGGCGCACTTCTCGCGGTTGGAGACCTTGATGACGCCGTGTTTGGGGTCGTTCTCACAGGTCCAGGTGACACACGGGTCCACGGGCCGGCCCCCGATCGACGGCTGCCACGAATTGCCCGGCTGGTACACCTGCGTAGCGGGATCATTGGTTCGGTTACTTCCACTGAGCAAGAGGATTACATGTCACAACAGCGTCTATCACATATATCGGCCTTTCGCATGCACAAATCAAATTCAGAGCTTCATTTTGCATGCACAACGAAATTCATTTATGTAAGTGAACGACATTTGATGGTCGATTGTGCCCTGAGCTTAGTTCCTCACCTTTCCGTTATCCCTGCAGGCGGTTCGCTCCAGCTCTGGGCAGCAGAGGTCGGCGCTGTCCTCGTTCTCCTCGTACACATACTCCTGCTCGTCGGCCTCTGACGGCAGCTGACACGCCACGCGCACGCACACCGGCTGGTATGGCGGGTCGCCGCCGGGCACCTCGCGGCACGTGCAGTTGTCACAGAAACCGTCCGTCCACACCTCGCCGGCGCGCTTCAGCACAAAGCCCTCGTCGGAGTCGGCGGTGATGGTGCGAATGTCGATATCGACGTCGAGCCGCACCAGACAGGTGTCGGGCGGCTGGCGGCAGAAGGTGTGCGGGCAGCAGTCGGCCACCGTCTCCGGGTTGGTGCGCAGCAGGAAGCCGTCGGGACACTGCGGCGGCGCCGGACACGCCGTCTTGTTGCAGACGATCTCCTCCAGCGGACAGCAGGTGTCGGTGCGGTTGCGGTAGCTCTCGCCGGCGTTGAGGGGGCGCAGCTGCAGCCGTTCCGGACACTCCTTCTCGGGCACACACTCGCACACGGCCACTGGACACCCGTTGACGGTCAGACGCTCCACGCGCTTGCCCTCGGCGGCGTTACAGGTGGGCTCCACAACGTCCGGGCAGTGCACGGGCGGCTCGGTGGTGGTGGTGGTGGGCGCTGGACGGCACACGTACCGCGGCGGGCAGCACTCTGTGCCGGTACCCTCCAGTTCGGTGACCACCTCGTCAGCGCCGCACTCGAGACTGGCAGAGTCCGGACAGTCGGCCTGCCAAACACCGCACGCGGTCAGCGCTTCAATCAGCAAACACAAAACACCAAATTTTACGGGTAGATATTACCTAGCTCGGCGGCCGCTGGGCTTAGGGAATAAGTAATAAGGCTAAACTCCCTTATATCTCACAGTAATTTAATTTTTAGATATGTTTAGTATTCTTTATGAGCATGCATCAACATATCCCAAAAAGTCCCGATAAACCATCTTGCTACTTACGAGTATGCGAAACATCTGCACAACTCTCGATAACGAGGGTTCGATAGTGAGCCTGACCTGCGTGCAGCGCGCGAGGCCGCCCTCCTGACACTCGCAGCTGGTGCAGTTGTCGGGCTTCCAGGTGTCGCCGGCGCGGTGTCCCTCGTCGTCGCAGAACTGGCACCGGGCCGCGCTCACACACACGTCGTTCTCGTAAACCTGCACCGGTAGCGGATCGGGTCAGTGACGGTCAGCATGACACGGTAGATACATCAGCGTGTTGTAATGAGCTAGGCAACAAATAAAAGCGTGTTGCGCTTTTGTGCGGGTGATATAATGGTGCAAGCAACAAATACAAGCGTGCTGTGAATTTGTGTGACTTATCTGTCATTCTCAAGACAAAACACATAGTGCTTTTGTACAACACTGACCGTTGGCAGGACCCAGGGCAGGGAAGGGCAACACTGACCGATGGCAACTGTAGTTGCCGCTGGCAGGGCCCGCTCACCTGTCCATCGGGGCAGAAGCAGCCGTCCATCTCGAGGCGCGGGCAGTCCTGTTTGTCGCAGCTCTTGAGACAGGTGCCGGTGCACTGGCGGTACTCGGTGGTGGGCGGGCACGCGTCCTCCCGGCCGCACAGCTCGTCAGAGCGCCACGGCAGGCACAGGCCGCTCTCGTAGCAGCGGCGCGCGTACTGCTCCAACTCGTCACACACGTCGTGGGTTACGTCGTCGCAGCTGAACGGGTGGCAGAACAGAAACGTCACGATCCATAAAGATAAACGGGAAAGAGCTGCAATTAAAGGAATGTTCAAAGTATAACGGTCATTTCACCCAAACACAGATTTCGACACTTGCTGGATATAACGTTTTGCTACGTATACCACCGTGCCGCGAATTTACCAAGCTTGTGATACGAGACGCTTGATTTTAGTTGCCAAACAGATCCTAAATCTAACCGTCTTAGATGAAAAATTTAGACAACCTTTTTGATTCGTGGTGCTATTGGGTTGAAAAAGTTCACGCCGTTCGACGCTAGAGCAGCGACTCACAGTCGTCTCTGGCAGGCGGCGACCAGCGGTGCCGGGTCCTGCAGCTGGTGGCACGCGCCGAACACGGTCTCATCGAGCAGCGCCTGGCACGGGTCCT